AGGAAAGGAAGTGAAAACATGGAGGCCGATAGAGAGGGATATGAGGATTTGAAGGTCAAAGAAGTAGTTCAAGTGAGATTGGGTAAAGAGAAATATGGAAGGCTTACAATTAGAGAGGAATGTGTTCGTTGAGGTATGATACTCCAAGGCTGCCATGTAGTCAAAGAGATGAATGGCTGAAGGAGAAGGTAAGTCTTTGGAGAAGAGAAGGCTGGAGGATAAGAGACCTGAATTATAGACCAAAGAATGTGGATATTACTGTTTTAGTGATTTTTTTTCTATTTGCAATATTGTTTTAATAATTTGGCTATTGCTGTCTAAATAGTCTCTCTTAATTGTCTTGGATAATTTAGCCCTTTTTATCCTACATAAACTTACAAAATGTAATACATCTGTCATCCTATATAAATTATTTATATTTAATATTTTAATCACTCAAAATCTTTTCAGACTTTTTAACTGTTAATTTTTAGTTTCTTAGGTTGAAGAATTTTAGCTTAATCATGACTAATTCAGTTAAGTTGAATTTTAAGATACATGGATGTGTTTTACTGCCTTTGCAATCTGATCTCTAAAACAATGATGTAAAATTAGGCAAGGCAGTTTTTTTAAGGAAGAGAAAATAGAATAGAGCAAATATTCACTGAACTTTTTAAAAACCTTTTTATCTTTAGAATAGTTTTACAGAAAAATCGGAAGGATGATACAGAGGGTCCTCCTGTACCCCACACCTGGCTTCCCCTGTTGTTAGCATTGTAGATCAGTATGGCGCAGTTGTTACAATTAGCAAACCGGTGTTGATCTCTTATTGCCAACTAAAGTCCGTACTTCATGTGGATTTCCTTAGTTTTTTCCCAGGTTCCTTTTTCTGTCCCTGTTTCCCTTCCAGAATACCACACTACATTTAGTTTCATGTCTGCTTAGGCTCCTGTTGGCTATGATCATTTCTCAGATGTCCCTTGTCTTTGGTGACCTTGATGGTTTTGAGGAGTACTGATCGGGTGTTTTGTAGACTGTCCCTCAATTTGGGTGTGTCTGATGTTTTTTTTTTGTGATTACACTACGGTTATGGGGTTGGAAGAGGAAGACCACCGAGGAACAGTACCATTCTCATCATACATACTAGGACTGCTTGCTGCGAACGTGACTTAACGATTGTTGATGTTAAGTGTGTTTACCTGACTGAGGTGGTATTTGTCAGGTTTACACCTGCCCTCCCCCTTCCCCTTCTATGTGGTACTCTTTGGGAGGAAGTCACTGTGTATATTAGTTTGCTGGGAGCTGCCATAAAAAATGTCACAGTCTGGGTGGCTTAAATAAATGTATTTTTGCACAGGGCTGGAAGCTGGAAGTCCAAGATCAAGGTGCTAGCAGGGTTCCCGGTGAGGCGCCTCTCCTCTTGCAGAAGTCAACTTCTCTCTGTGTCTTCACGTGGCCTCTTCTCTGTGTGTGCATGGAGGGAAACAGGGAGAACTGGTTTCTTGTTCCCTTCTTTTAAGGGCACTGGTCCTAGTGGATTAGGGCTTGACCCTTGTGACTTTATTTAACCTTAATTGCCTTCTTAAAAGACCTATCTCCAAATACAGTTACTTTGTGGCTTTAGGGCTTCAACCTAAGAATTTAGGGGGAAGCAGTTCAGCACATTACAGTATACATAGCCCACACTTGAGGAGTAGGGGTTTATGCTTTACCTTGTTGAAGGTATGTCTTCTACATAATTATTGGCAGTTATTCTGAACAGATTTGTTTCCTCTCTCCCATTCATTCATTCATTCATTCATTCCTGTCAATATTGACTTCCGGATATTTATTTTATGTTTTAGGTTATAATCTGATACAACGTTATCTGTTTTCTTGTTCAAATTGTGAATTCTGGACCCCCTGGAGAGCTAATTCAGTTGGTTTCTGTGTTCCTTTGATATAAAGAAACGTAATTTTGTTTTTTGAGTACTTTCTTAATCTCTGGCCTTAAATGATACTCCAACAGGTTCATACTGTATTTTGTGTATTCTCTGTTCCTAGCCCTAAAATCAGCCATTTCTCAAGGAGCCCTAGTTTCTTTTAGTGGAGAATGGTATTAGAAACCAACATGTGGATGCTGTGTCTGCTCATTGTTACTGAGGCATCATCGTTTCTGTGACTTCCTAGCTGATAGAACTTGAAAATGTGCTAACCTGTGTGTATACATGTATCCATAATTATTTCTGTATGTATGCATCTATAGCTATATCAAGCTAAAATGAATCCACTGTTTCCAAATCTAATCCAGTATCTCATGAAAAAAATCTAGCCTCTTCCGCTTGCTTATCTGAAACTTTTTACTCCAACAATGAGAAATATGGTTCCCGCTATTTTTCATCAAATTTATTTATTTTTTCAGTCCTGATATACATGTATAATGGTTTCAGAATTGTTAATTGTTTTTGCCATGAGCGAGAGTGCATGCCTGTATACAGTTTCTTTTGCCTTTGTCTTACAGTTCCATTCATCTTCGAAATCACTTAGGTCAGCACCTCTTTTTACCTTACTCCTTTCAGGGATGTTGTGTCATGCATTTGTAATAGTTAACAATCTATTGTCACAGCCTGCATTGCATCCTGGCATCCCCCAACCTCCTAATTGATTTTTTTTTTTAAAGATTTGTTTATATCAGGTTCACTTTTTGTGTACGTGTGTGGATTTTGGTAAGTGCATAATGTCATGTGTCTACCACTATAATATTAGGCAGAATAGTTTCACCACCCTAAAATATCCCTACTCAGCCCTCTTCCACTCTTTCTGAAACTCCGGCAACCACTGCTCTGTTTTCTGTCTTGATACTTTTGCTTTTTCTAGAATGTCTGTAAATGGAATCTACAGTATATGGGATTTTCAGACTGGTTTCTTTTACTTATCACTTTAGATTCATCCTTGCCATTACATGAATTCATAGTTTATTTTTATTGCTAAATAGTATTCCATGGTATGGATGTACTACAATGTTTATCCATCTTCATGGCTCGTAGTTGTTGGTAGCTAGGAATAAAGCTGGTATAAACATTTGTGCGGCTTCCGTGCAGACATAAATTTTTTTAATCAGTTGGAAAAATACCTAGGAATGTGATTGCTGGTTTGTGTACTATGAATATGTTTAGTTTTATGCCTGCTAAAATGCCTTCGAAAGTGGTTGTACCATTTTGCATTCCTACCAGCAATGAATGAGTGTTCCTCTTGTTCCGTATCATTGCCAGCAAATCTTATTGTCTGTTTTTTTGGGATTTTAACTATTTTAATAGGTGCGTAGTAATATCCCATTGCTAAAATTTGTACTTTCTTTCTTTCTTTTTTATTTTTTCTTTTTGAGATGGAGTCTTGCTCTTTTTTCCCAGGCTGGAGTGCAATGGCACAATTTCATCTCACTACAACCTCTACCTCTCAGGTTGAAGAGATTCTCCTGCCTCAGCCTCCCAAGTAGCTGGAATTACAGGCATGGGCCACCACGCCCAGCTAATTTTTGTATTTGTAGTAGAGATAGGGTTTTGCCATCTTGGCCAGGCTGGTTTTTTTTCTTTTCTCTCTCTTTCTCTCTCTCTCTCTTTTTTTTTTTTTTTTTGAATCAGAATCTCACTCTGTCTCCCAGACTGGAGTGCAGTGGCATGATCTCAGCTCACTGCAACCTCCACCTCCTGGGTTCAAACAATTCTCTGCCTCAGCCTCCTGAGTAGCTGGGATTACAGGAACCTACGACTATACCTGGGTAATATTTGTATTTTGAGTACAGATGGGGTTTCACCATTTTGGCCAGCTGGTCTTGAACTCCTGACCTCATGATCCACCTGCCTTAGCCTCCCAAAGTGTTGGGATTACAGGCGTGAGCCACTGAAATTTACACTTTTTTTCTTTTTTTTTTTTTTTTGAGACAGAGTTTTGTTCTTGTTGCCCAGGCTGGAGTGCAGTGGCACGATCTCGGTTCACTGCAGCCTCTGACTCCTGGGTTCAAGCGATTCTTCTGCCTCAGTCTCCTGAGTAGCTGGGATTACAGGTGCCCACCACCATGCCTGGCTAATTTTTGTATTTGTAGCAGAGATGGGATTTCACCATGTAGGCCAGACTGGCCTCGAACTCCTGACCTTGTGATCTGCCTGCCTCGGCCTCCCAAAGTGCTGGGATTACAGGTGTGAGCCACTGCGCCCAGACTACACTTTCTTAATGACAGTATTGAACATCTTTTTGTATGCTTATTTTTGATCTGTATATCTTTTCTGCTGAGGTGTTTATTATGCTCTTTTACCAGTGTTTTAATTGGGTTGTTTTCTTACTGTGGATTTTTAAGAATTCTTTGTGTACTTAGTATACACGTACTTTATTATATATATTTTAAATATTTTTTTCCCAGTGTGTGGTTGTCTTTTCTTTAACTGTGTCTTTCACAGAGCAAGTTTTAATTTTAATGAAGTCCAGCTTACCAACTTTTTCTTCCATGAATGTTGCTTTTGGTGTTGTATCTAAAATACCACCACCAAATGCTAGATCATGCAGATTTTTTTCCCTGTTTTCTTCTGGAAGTTTTATAGTTTTGCATTTTACATTTAGGTCTATGATCCATTTTGAGTTAATTTTTGTTTAAGGTGTGAGATCTTTGCTTAACTTCATTTTTCTGCATGTGGATATACAATTTTGCACAGCTTGTTGAAAAGACTTTTTTTTTCCTCCACTGAATTATTATACTTTTGTCAAAAATCAGTTGAGTATACTTGCTTGGGTCCATTTCTGAGCTCTTTTCTCTTCCGTTGGTTTATTGATTCTTTTGCCAATACCATGCTGACTTGATTACTGTCACTTTATAGTAAGTCTTGGAAATAGGTAGTGTGAGTCCTCCAACTCTGTTCGTTTTCAGCATTGTATATGCTATTCTAGGCCCTTTGCTCCTCGACTAAATTTAAAAAATTAATAACTAAAATAAAAATGGTTAATCCTCAGAGATGCAGTATAAATGTGATGTTCTTTAATTCATTTTTCAGGTGGTTCTTTGAAGCTCTGAAGTATCCCAAGTTTTCCAAAGCTAACGTTGTCAATGGAATACTCATGACAGTCGTGTTCTTCATCGTGCGGATTGCCTCAATGCCTCCTCTTTACAGCTTCATATATTCTGTGTATGGAACGGAACCTTACATGAGGCTTGGATTTTTAATCCAGTGTTCCTGGATCATTAGTTGTGTTGTTTTGGATGTGATGAATGTCATGTGGATGATCAAAATTTCAAAAGGTTGCATCAAAGTCATCTCTCTCATCAGACAAGAGAAGGCCAAAAATAGTCTTCAGAATGGAAAACTTGATTAAAGGAATGCTACTGATAAGCAAACTTTGTTACTACCCAGCATTATAACTGCTGATTGGATGAATTCTTGGCATGTTCTTGTGTATCTTTATTAATTATAATTGTTATTCAGGATTTCAGTGTCATTTTTTTAACCTTTAGAAAAGAGAAACTGAAATTTACTTTTCATCCCAAGATGTCTTTTCTGCCTTTCTTTTGCTTAATTTATAAGCATGGATAAAAATCCTAAAGGCTTAAATAAAAATGATAAATATCGTGGTGAATCTTTTGAGAAATCTCTTAACCCGTATTGGTATTTTTCTCTGTGAAAGATGACTATGATAATCTGGTACAATTGGTTTTATGTAACCAATTTTGCTGAAAGAATGGGAACTGCTTTTAAATCTGTAAATAGCTCTTAACATTTGTTGTATGCACTCTTTTCTTACTATGGCTGCCAACACCTGTGTGGGGTTTAATTTCTATAAATTGTTGGCATGTTCTTCTTCTCAGGCTATTCAGAAGTAATAACATTTTTCATTTCAGACATGCAATCACCTATTAATGATGAAATATTTTACCACTTTGGGAATATTTAATTAGTCATGGAAAATACTTCCTGCATTTTAAGAGTTTTCAAATATCACTTTCTTATTTCTATTTTAGCATTTTATCAAATTATTGCTTTTTTCTTTTGCAGTCAGGCTTAACACAGATTAAAAACCTCCTTAAGAGATGAATTTCTTCTTCTAGAAATGCATGTCGATAGTGGACTATTTAGGCTAATAGCAGGAATCATTAAGGAAAAAAGCTTTAACACTATCCTTATCTGCTTTCCTTGCACTTTTTCTGTGAAAAACCTTTTCTGTTTGCACAATCTTCCCTGAGTTCTGAACCCAGCATCATCACTACCAAAGTCTTATGCAATACATATTTAATATGCTCCTGAAATAGGCCTCTTCTTGATGAGACCCTAACTATTACAAAAAATCAGTATTCATATTTTACTCCCAATTTACTCCCGTGCTTGCTTAGTTGGCATTTTAGTGCTTTGAATTTCTGTCTATCTTAAAGCACAGAAAAAAAAAATAAGGTAATTTAATCCAAGTATCCTATCATCAAAATTATTTTCTGATTATATGAAGATAAATGACTGGCGACTCTCATGTGTGTACGTGTTTTGCTTTTACTTTGGTTCTTGCAATCCAAATATAGAATTACATATTTATCTATTATTGCCTTTATTTATTTTTTAAGCACTTGACTTTAATGATTATTCTTACTTGAGAAAGAAATTTAATTCAACCAGTGATGAATACTTGAAATTAATTGAACTCATACGAAAAGATCTAATCCATTTAGTTTCTCAGTTTGAAAGAGAATGTTTGACTCACTTTCATTGTTCATGCTAGCCAAATATAATCAAGACTTTGATTTGATTATCCAATCAAGGTAGAGCCTGATAAGTTTTAAATGTTTAAAGAGGATTGAAATCTCAGTCAATAACTAAATGATAAAATGAGATTGATTGGCTTATACTAGGTACATTTATTTGTGAAAGAATTAGTGTAAAATATAGTTATTTTTAAAGCAGCTAATAGTACATTGATAATTTGTTGCTAAATTTAGTGCTGTCCACATCATAGACACTTAAATATATACTGGTTATCTAGAGGGGGGTAGGAAAGCAGGTGATTTTATCTTGTTCTTACCTTTTTGCAGGAAAAGTGGCTTTTGAAAAAAGGAAAATATTTATATAATAAAACTGTTTTGGAAATCCATTCTTTTAGAAAGAGACCTTGAGATAAATATTTTTTGACTCTGGATTTTTCTATAGTTCTGAACAGATTTTAAATCCACTATCAAAATGAAGACAATATAGAGCTATACTCTTAGTGAGTCTCCATGTAACAGTTTGTTTTTATAGTTACTGTTTCATGCTTAAAACTTTATTCTTACTTTCATTAACATTACCCTTCACTGGTGTAGCTACTCACAAAATAAGTATCTTTAAAATATCAACATTTTGAACCAAAGTTTGTGATTCCCTTATTCAGCAATCTTTATCTTATGCTGGCTGCATGACAGTTAATTCAACATCCAGATTAAATATTCTAAAGTGGGTTCTATATATTTCCTCATACAACAGACACGGAATGGAAATGCCGCCACAAATTGCCCTGCTACTTCAAGTCTGACCTTTGCAAAAGGTACACTTTGCTGTTCTATGATTGTATTCACCTACCTAAAATACAAATGAAGACAGAACATATCATTTACTAAACGATGAATTTTTCATTTATTAAAAACTTTTGCTAGACATTTTAAATATTAAGTATTTTCACTACACAGATTAAATGATTCAGGCATTCTGATATTTAAAAACAAAATATTTATAGAAAAATTAAAGCAAATTGATATAAATTTTTAAGCAATTCTATTTTTGTAGAAAAAAATGACAACCGATAATTATAAAGTTCTTTGAATGTGTAGTATCCTAGAAAATAAAAGTTCTTGTGAAACTTAAAAACGAATGAAAACCAACTAATAGCGTGCAAGATCATAGATCCTGCATTAAATTTTTATTTGTGAAGTATTAAAAATTATGAGCTTTAGCTTATAAAGTTTGCCTTCTTATGTATGTCTAAAGTCTTTTAAAGGATTATTTGCATTTATATAAAACTCGAAATGGAGTTATATGTGAGTGCAAAGAAATTAACTTCTGCTCAAGTATGTTTTGATACCCTCTACTAAGTTGATTAAATTTTTATCCCAACTGTTTTTTGTTGTTGTTGTTTCATGGACTAGCCTTATGTTAAATGAAATAATAGTTATGTTGTTACCACCCTTAAGAGTGACTCTGATATATTATGGATGACCCAGGACTGTCTTAAAGGTCTAGTTTTAAAAACCGCCTAGTTTGTAAGTATTTGAATCCAGTTCTTTTTTAAATTTTAATAATTTGACTCACAATTTTTGCTACAGGGGCAACTTTTAAATTGTATATACTTCCTCTAAGGCACACTGGGCATTTGGAGAATGGTTCCTCACTGGTATGGAGAGCCGGGTTTACTATTGGTTGCACCATCTGTTGTCAGGCTTGCAGACACATTTTGCTTCTGGAGAAACAGGGGAAAGTGTTGTTGCAGTGTACATGTTTCCTCTGTGTCATTTTTAAGGGAAATAAACATGTTCCAAAAGATGCTATTAAAATAAATATTTGAACAACTTTTCTGTTTCTAGGTTGTTCTTAATTCCAGACATTTAAATAGATGTGCATTTGAATGGCTTTAAGTGGTTTAGTCTGTTAGCTGAAATGGAAACATCAATAATGCTTAATAAAAGTTTATGTATTTTTATGTGTTTTGGATTCCATAAGACATGAACTTAGATAATTTTATCAAAAATAGCACAGTGTTTCTCAGCAAGGGCGAGCCAGCATACAGCAAGACCCTTCCTGTGTCTCTGGGTGCACATAGACCTTCCCAACCCTAAACGCAGCTCATTGAAATAAAAAAGCTACTGAAAGTGCGTTCTGCTGCAAAACACATGTGATGTGTGTGGGAACAATGAAAAGCTAAAGGACCGAGAGTTAGAGGAGGCATTGAGAGTGCTTTTCCCTGAAACGCCCTGATAGTATTCCCTGGATCTGGAAGTTTTCTCTTTGAAACCTCCCATCTGTTCCTCCTGATATCCCAGGTGACTTCATCTGCATCTCCCTCTTTCATGCTAACACCTTTCTGTCAACTTTTGTGACCTCCCCATATATCTGTAAGCTTCCCAGTCTCATGGCAAATTTAAAAGTTTACAAATAGGTTCTCTCATTGAAAAAAAAAAAACCACAGTAAAGTTTAGAGCTCAGACCAACCATGACTTATTAAGAGACTACAGGAAGTCATTCAGCATTTAATAATACCTGTTTACAACATGAGGCAAAGCTAATAATGTTATGGTTTTATTAAGAGACATCTGTCATCTCTCTTTTTCTTAAACTGGTATAACAATCAGAGCTTTGTAATAATGTGTTTCAGCTGAAGATTTATTATAGGCTTGTAAATTACCTAAATGTTCTTTTTAGACCACATGACGGAAGCACAGAGGAATGGAGATAACGCTGTGTTATGAGAGGGTGGGTGCTGGCTTGTGGCAGAATTACTTTAGAGTCCTGCTCTTCAGGAAAACTTTGCTATGGTAATGTTTCTTTGAAAACAAATTTATCAGCCACTGCGTTACTTGGTGTTTTCCAAAGTACAACACCCAAGGATTTGAACCCTACCCCTTTCTAGGCCCGACTAGGCCAGCTTCTACTTGCTTTGATAATAATTCATACCTTTATTGGTAGATATTTTGGATAGCAGTGGAGAACTGAAGGCAGCTCCTAAAGATTGGTTTGTTTGCATTGAAAACATTTACACCTAATCACTCTCAGCAGCAGACCGTTTTGATATCAGGCCCTATACGTAAGACCAAAACCAGAAATATTTCTAAATCTCAAAGATTTATAAGTACAGTACCTCTGGCTGAAAACTCGTTAAACATCCTCTATATATTTTTTTCTTTCTATCTTTATGTAATTCTTTCTGTAATTAAGTGTACATTAGGGTTATCTGTTACTTAACAAGCCTGAAGGTATAGCTGTACATGGAATGTGCTCTGTTTTTCTGTGTCCTGCTTGGTTTGTTTCTGGTATGACTTCTGTGTCCACTTTTTACTTAAGGAATTTTGTGTAAATAATACTCTCACTAACTTGTAAATAGGATAAGTTATGAGATTTTTTTTGGTATTAGAATTTGTAATAATGACATTTAGATTTTATTTGAAAAAGTTACTTGGAAACCAGTAAATAGAGCTATAGTGATATAGATATATATATGTAAAAAATACTTTTTTCTGAGAATGTATAATATATAATTGTCAAAGATTTTTGGAAGTCTTTTAAAGTATACTTAATCATATTTTGAGAACATACTTTCGAATTTGTTTCCATAAGGCTGAAGAACTTTTATTTACAAAATGTATGACTAATTTATGAATCAGTGTTACTAGGACTTATCAGTTCTTAAAATAGCAACTTAGCATTCTGTACTTTGTTTCCTGGTGGTTTTATTTGGAGGGATACTAAATGTCTAAGTTA